CTTGACAGCCGACGCCAGCCCGTCCCACCGCCGCAAATCGCCGCCGTCACGGCCGACGACCAAGCCGCTGGAGGCGCGCAGACGCGCCCGCCACCCGCGCCCCTCACGAGCCATGCAGTCGCCGCAGCCATGCCTGCGATCTCGTCCACAGGCACACCTTCCCAGTCGGCGCCCGCCGCCGCCACCCAGTACGCGTCCAGCCAGTAGCGCGGCGGCCGGTGCCGCAGCGCGAGCAGCGCCACCGGCGCCGCCGCCAGCTGCCGCGCACTGCACTCCTGCAGGCGCCCGCTCGCCGCGCGGCATAGGCCTGCCAGCAGCCCCTCTGGCGGCGCCGGCCCCAGGCGCGGCAGCGCGCACAGCAGCGTGACGGCTGCGTGCCCCGTCAGCTGCTGCATGCGCTCGCCGCCGTCCGCCGCCAAAGCGGTGTGCAGCTCAGCCGCCCACCCGTCCCAGGGGTCAATCCCGATGCGATCCAGCGCGGCCGCCGCCGCCGCCAGCTCGCGCCCGCCCAGCCGCCGCATGCGGTGCTGCAGCAGGTCTAGCAACGCCTCGAGGGCGGCTTGGCGCTCAGGGGCTTCGATGAGGTTCGGGGCGCAGGGCAGCGACGACAGGGCCTCCAGCACCGCGGCCGCCTGGGCCGCCCAGGCGTCGTCCTGCGCGTCAGCCTGCGCGCCTGCATCGCTTGAGGCGCCGCCGCTGCCGGGCGGGCAATCAGGCGGCACATTTGAACCGCCTTCTGTGCCGCCGCCGCCGCCGCCGCTGCCGTCGTCGCTGTCACCGCAGCTGCTGTTGCCGGCGCTGCTGCGGACGCGGCTCGCGCCGCCGCCGACGTTGACGATGGCCCCTGCAAACGCGTCAAACAGCGGCGCCGCTAGCCTCTCCTCCCGCGGCCCCTCCAGCCGGTCGCCCGGCGCCGCAATGGCCCTCGCTCGTGCATACCCCACCAGCAGGAGCCCAGCCTCGCCTCCGCTGCAGATGCCCGTGGTCACCGCCCCCACACCACCCGTTGCGGCGGCCTCGGCGGCGCTGGCCACCGAGCGCAGCTGGTCGCCGTTCAGCTGCCACCCCAACTCGCTGAGCGCAACCAGGCTGTCACCGAGCTGCCGCGGCGTCGGGGCGGCAGCATTCCCCACTATGGAGTCGCGCAGCCGCGCCTTGAGGCGCCGCAGCACGCGCGCCTGCAGGCGGGAGGGCTCGAAGCCGCGGCGCCGCGCGGCAGCCAGGCAGGCGAGTGCGGCGGTGGCGCCGAGCGGCGGGAGGCCTGGGCCGCGCTGCGACGTCAGCAGCGCCGCCTGCGTGAGGGCCGCCATGGCGGCCGGCGGCAGGGACGCGCGGCGGCCGCCGGCTGGGGCTTCGTCGTCGCAGCTGCCGAAGGTGCCCGCCAAGAGCAGCCTCCGCAAGCTGCACCACAGCATGCCCACGTGCGGAGGTCCCAGCAGAGGCCCGTGCTGCTGCGCAAAGGCTGCGGCCTGCTCGAAGCTGCCCAGGCCGCGCACGGCCAGCAGCTGCGCCGTTGCCTGCGGGCTCAGCCGCCACCCCTCATCAGGCGAGCCGCCGCCGACCTCCGCTGCACTTCCCGCCCGGCTGCTCCTGCTGCTGCTGCTGCTACTGCTGCTGTCTCTGCGTTCATCATGGTCACCGCCGTCGCCGTCGCCGTCGCTGCGAGACTCCAGCGGCGGCAGCCTGAAAGGGCCACCGTGTGGCGACGTGGGTATGCCCGCCAGCGCGGCCGCCAGCGTCGCAGAGGGCCTTCTGGTCGACTGCTGCTCTCTGGCTGGCGCTGCTATTTTAGCGCTGCGTGCGTCGTCCACGCCTGCCACCGCCAGCAGGGAGTGGTCAGGCACTCGCAGGCTGCCGCCGCCGCTGTCGCCAGGGACAAGGCTAGGTGCTGCTGCGGCACTGGCAGCAGGCGGTGGTTCCGGCTTGGCGACTGTAATGTCCGTGCCAATGTCTCCAAAGCCCATTTCATCGCCGTCCCCCCACAGGAGCCCGCCGCCGCTGGTGCCTCCAGTGCCGCCGCTGCCGCCTGTGGGCGCGCTCGCCCTCGTCGCAGCCGACCGAGCGGCTGCGCGGCCGCAGCTGCGGCAGAGCTGGCTCGGCCATTGGCTGACAACAAATGGGTGAAGTCTGCGTTGAATGTATGGGCGGTAGCGTTTGTGGGCAGAGCGCTCCGCAGGCGCGCCGCGCTGCGGCAGAGGCGGCGCGGCCGCCGGTGGTCCCAGCACATGCCTGCGCCATGTGACCGATAATATATGTCCATAATCACCGTGATATGACGCGTGGTCTACGCAAGCGCCCCACAATGGACGGCGAGGGCGAGGTCAGCAGCATCGACTACCCCGTCCCAACGTAGCTAAAGCCGTGAGCATGGCATGGGTAGAGAACATCAACAAAATATTAGTGTCCCCTGGATGTGCTGCCGCGCAACAGTATGTATAAGGTGTTGATCTGCAATGGTGTGCGGTCTCTGCTTGAACATCGCGTGCCCGCTTGCTTGTGTTCTCTAAATTGTCAATGAGACAGGTCTAGTGGGCTTTCAAGATACTTACCATTGCTGGTTTTTTCACTCGGGAAGGCAGGTCTTTGTTGCGCTAGCTCCCAACTGAAGCCGTAGATCGCGGGTGTTGGTGGGAGACAGCATTGAGTTGCGTCCACAGGGATCGTAGGAGGGTCACCACATCGAGGGCAAGCCCTCAGGGGGGCTGCTTGACGGCCACAGGTGGGCCTAAGGGGACAGCCTCGTGAAGAAACTGGCTGGCATCACATGCGTGCAATGCGTCGTGTGAGGGCCCTCGTTGAGTGCAGCATGTCAACGCGGTCATCCACGCGCTTGCCATACTTGCTCTGCGCTGCTCCCTGCCGGGTGCTGCGGCGCTGCACCCAACAATGCCCGATTTGCTTCGTCCTTCCGCCGTCCGCACGTTGCACACCGACATCCCAGGTCACAAGCAGCGGTGCGCGGCAGCTCGCGCCACCGGTTCCCGCCGGCATCCGCTGTCCGAGCGCGCCGGCAGAGCCCCGGGGCGGGCCGTCGGCCGGCCGCCCGCGGCCGCTCAGGGATGGCGGCGGGGCAGGTAATGCCGGGCGTGCTGAAGGTCTTGATAGAGGGCGCGCGCGACACCGACGTCGTCGCGCCCGGCGGCGCGGAGCAGCAGCACCCCTTCTACGTGCTCGAGTGCGGCAACCAGCGCAGCCGCTCCAAGCCGGCGCGGGGCGCGCACCCCGTATGGAACGTGGCCCACAAGTTTGCGCTCGCGAATGAGATGATGATGCGGCTGACCCTCAAGGACGACGGGACAAAGGCGGTCATAGGGGAGGCGCTCATCGACCTCAGCAGGTGGGGGTTTCCTCATTTGTACCCCCTCGCCGACCACTCTGCGGGGCAGGGGCGAGCGCCGGGGCGGCTCTTGCCGGCAGCGGCGAGAGGGATACGGGTGTGAGGGGAACGGCAGCGGCGCGTCGGCTTGCAGGGGGGGGAGGGGGTAGACAGGCGCGCGCGCGCGCGGCAAGGGGCGCCCCCACGCCCGGCTGACCCGCTCCGCCCGTGAGGCGCAGGGCGCGCGCGACCGGCCGCGATGAGAGTGCGGCACCGCTGACGACGCCGGGGGGCCACACTCGCGGGCTGCTGAGCTTTAAGCTCAAATTTGCAGCAGCCGAAGGCATGGCGCCGCTGCCGCCGGCGCCGTCGCCGAGCGCGAGCCACGGCGGCCACGCCAGCTCCGCAGCCGGCA